CCCCAAAACCCCAAAACCCCGTCTATACGATAATTGCTATATAATGATATAAGTTTTTTTAAAATCTAACTTCATAATTTCTATCAGCATATAATTCGTTTTATTGATGATAAAATGATAAAATATAATTAAAATGAGAATTTTACCTAGATTTATTTGGATACTAATTTATAGCTTTCAAATTACTTAAGCTAGACAAGCGAGAACTGATCTTTTTAGTGTCTCAGACACTCTCGAGATATTCAATGAGCATGATGAAATCCTTGGGTTTTACTAGCTAAACACATTTCCTTTTATAGAATCAGTAAGTTTATTAAATATACAGTGCAATCAGACACATTAATACATATTTAATTATTGATTAACTCTTAGCACTTAGTATACATAAAATAACACAGCTGCAGGGTAAATATGCTATGCTGAATCTCTTTCTAAGTTTCTAAGTAATTGCAAGAATGTTGAGTAATATGCTGATTACAACTGGATACTGTTGACACCCTTTGATGGATTATTCACAAACTAACTTCTTTTTGAGGCTCAAAACCTAAATATCAGTGCAGTTATAATAGGAAGCGAGCAATAAATTGAATCAGGAGGCTATTACATCAACCCAGTAATATCATAAATAATGAAACTAAAATTTTAGAAAATTATAACTTTGATTAGTGTCATTCAGATGGGTATTCTGCAGTAATTTACATATCCTTAAAGAGAAAACATCAAAGCAGTCCTAAATCACAATTATGAGGTTTACTGTCCCAATGCTTTATTGATCGCTGAATATTTATTTCCACTTATTATTTCTTTAGCATTTCTTCTAAGCATATACTTGATTATGATATTTGCCATCTATAGAGATTAACAATAGATTTTGTAAAAATGCCTACTTATAATCCCATTATTCAAATTGGTTAGGATGCTACTTTACTATTTTTACCTCAAATAATGCCCATGGACTGATTAATTGGATAGAAAATACATGCAAATGTCCTTCATCACTATATCTACTATATACCAAACTCTATTCGTAGCTGTTTTAATGCTAATTTCTAAAGGATGGGTTCTATTAAAACCATTTTTGAATAGATATCAAGCTACTCAAGTTACTCTAATTATGGGAGCTGTATATCTATCATATAGTGCATTCTATGTATCGGAGACTGTATAAAGTGTCAAAATCCTATTAGAAACTATAATAAATATGATGAATATAGGCTTAGCATATGTAATTGTCAAGAGCTGCTTTACCTGCCTCTAGATACTTTGGAACTACCAAGATTAGATTAATGATGAATCTAGTCGAGATTTATAAGGTACTTTAAGATTGAAGTTCAAGATGATGAGGTAATTCACAATCTTAGTGATTGCTTACTTTATTTATGAGATAGCTATAAATGGAATATTAAGATATATAAATTAGTCAAAGGACTAAATAGATATTTAATCAATAGTTTTTCATTTTTATTTTGACACCATCATCATATTCGCTATTCTTCTGGCATTTAGACCCAGGTAATGGCCTTAGTATTTTTCACTAGGAATTTTAGAGATATTTTCGATTAATAATCTTGCTTTTAATGGCGATGCTGGAAATGAAAATGAAAGGTTCAGTATCCCTCCTATACTTATAGCAGAGGTTAAGAATTACAAGTAGATGGAATCATTTGATTATTCATCACTAAACTCTGATAATCAGTATATAATCTATAATCCAATGTATTCTAAGTCTGATCTTTCCGAAAGATTATTGCTAGATTAGGAGGAAAACACTGAGCATTAAATCATATCCTCAATCTAATTAGCTAAGAAAATACCTAATAAATCATTGCAAAAATCTAAATAAGATTGAATTTCTAAATTATTAGTAATTTTAAATATGTTTACTGATTTTAATCGAGGGGTTTTGGGGTTTTGGGG